TGAAACCAAAATAGAACTTTTTTGGTAAAAACTCAACTAGACTTGTTTGGAGGAGAAAGAATGCTGAGTTGCATCCAAAGACCACCATACCTACTGTGAAACATGGGGGTGGAAACATCATGCTTTGGTGCTGTTTTCTGCAAAGGGACCAGGACGACTGATCCGTGTAAAGGAAAGAATGAATGGGGCCATGTATCGTGAGATTTTGAGTGACAACCTCCTTCCATCAGCAAGGGCATTGAAGATGAAACGTGGCTGGGTCTTTCAGCATGACAATGATCCCAAACACACCGCCCGGGCAACGAAGGAGTGGCTTCGTAAGAAGCATTTCAAGGTCCTGGAGTGGCCTAGCCAGTCTCCAGATCTCAACCCCATAGAAAATCTTTGGAGGGAGTTCAAAGTCCGTGTTGCCCAGCGATAGCCCCAAAACATCACTGATCTAGAGGAGATCTGCATGGAGGAATGGGCCAAAATACCAGCAACAGTGTGTGAGAAACCTTGTGAAGACTTACAGAAAACATTTGACCTCTTTCATTGCCAACAAAAGGTATATAACGAAGTATTGAGATTAACTTTTGTTATTGACCAAATACTTATTTTCCACCATAATTTGCAAATAAATTCTTTAAAAATCAGACAATGTGATTTTATGGATTTTTTTCTCATTTTGTCTCTCATAGTTGAGGTATACCTAGGATGAAAATTACAGGCCTCTCTCATCTTTTTAAGTGGGAGAACTTGTACAATTGGTGGCTGACTAAATACTTTTTTGCCCCACTGTACATGTACATGCATGAAAGTGTCTTAATACATTTAGACGGCATGTTGAAAATGAGACAGTCCTGGTGTAAGGAAAATGTGTGTGTGTGTGTGTGTGTGCTTGTTTGTGTGTGTTTGTGTGTGATTCAGCATCCACCCTAACCTGCGGTCTGTAATCTACTGCCAAGCTGTGGCTCATGGGGGGAAGGAGGAGTGGGAGTTTGCCTGGGACCTGTATCTTCGCTCCTCGGACGTCTCAGAGAGGGACCGGCTCCGGCGGGCTCTGTCCTGCACCAAGAAGATCTGGCTGCTCAGCAGGTGACCTTTTTACCTTTGTTTTGAAAAGTGGTTGGGACACTTATTTCAGATACAAATAAAACTGTATTGCGTGCAACCCTTTTTTTGTACACACTAGTTTCCCTACCATTTGTAGACACAGGGTTCACAGTGTCAGGCTACAGACTGTTGTCATAGGAACCATTATATGTGTGGGGGGAAATATTTAGGAAGCCAATAATATACGTCTTTCTTTAGGAGACTTGCACACCCCTGTTCTCCACGGCGACACACATACATGCAAACATGTTGTGATAAGGCGTCATCTTTGTAAACCAAACCCTTGTAGGGGGGTCTGGGGAAGATGTTTTAATAAAGCAGTGACACTTATTACTTCAGGCAAACAAGCCAAACCACATAGCACTTCTTGGGTCCCCAGAAATACACCGACCAAGTTTGACCAGACAAACTATTCTCAAGATGTGCATGTTCAAAAATTGGTAGAGACATGTCCCCAGAGTCCCCAGCGTAAAGGACAACTATACTTTTTTACCGTGCACATAATACCTTCTTTCAATATGCTAGACTTTGATAAGGTGAATCCCAAACACACAGTTGTTATTATGAAGTGAAGAGTTTGTCAGTGGCTTCCTTATCTTGCAGATACCTGGATTACACTTTGGACCCTGAGCTGATACGTCTGATGGAGGTTGCTTCCTCTATAAGCTACGTCTCGAGGAATGTGGCCGGGCAGGCGCTGGCCTGGAACTTTATCAGAGCTCACTGGAACTATGTCAGATATGGGTACGGTTATATTGCTTTATTCATGAACAGCTTACAGATTGTGGCTTTGGGTTTGACCAATATATACTTGATGGCTATGTTTAAATTTAGCCGTTTCTTATTCAGACAGATCTACAAGAAAATTACAAGTATTTGTGGTTGAACCCGAAAACATATGATAGGGTGGAGAAACGAACAGAGCGTTGAGATTGTGAGAACTGGGACAGAAATCGGACACACACATTTGTCCTAATTATTCTGAAGTTGACTACAACAAACAGATCTGAAGTCCGGATGAATTCTCCTTCACATCTTTCCTTCACCCCGTGACGTTTCCCATTTAGGACAAGTGGTTAGGAAAACAGACATGACCTGACACCAGCCTGTGTCTATCCAGAGATGGGTCTCGGAAACTTTTAGCCTAACTTTGCTAGACTAGGCTCAGGTTGTGCTGTGGCATTACATCTTAGCAACATTGATTACAGAGCTACATGATGGATACAAGATTCAAGGAAGAACCTTCACCACCTCATAGCACTGACTCAGTGGTAGTTTAAAGAGCAGTATCAGCCCCACAACTCATCTATCAGTCTAACCCTAAACGCAGTGTTGGCTTGCTCATGGGCTTATCCTCTCAGCTCTGTCTCATGACCTGCTCTCAGGCCATGAGCTGCCAGTTAAAGACGAGGTTGTTGTTGTTATCTGTGTTGTCTTTATGGACGTTGTGTTGGTGGGCTCCTCATCACAGAGGTCTCTGGACACTGAAGTGAAAAGCGGTCGAGTCACTTGAATAAACAAGCAGTGCCATAAAAGAACAGAATATAACTAGAGAATGCAATTCCTGAAGAAATTGCTAGTGGGAATGCTTTATGCTGAAAAGCTCACGCTAAACTGCTTTGCTGAAATGTGAAGAATTTAGATTGAAATGATACATGAACACAGGGGGCTTGAATGTGTGAAGAGAGAGAAGAAAAGAAAGTAAAAAGGCTTGGAAAAGCAGCGGAATATTTGAACTGAAACTTCTGAACTAACTTGATGGCGAATGATCTGTCGCCATGGCAACGACATTTGATGACACCCCATAATACGCTTAGATGCGTTGATGGCTGCATCGTTACCAAACCTGTGAAGTTTTGGGGCGTTTGGAGCAGTTTCACTGAACTGAGACTGCCAAGGCACACNATGAATACAGAAATCCAACATACTGTCATCAAATGTCTTTCTATTATGAAAAAAGCCATAGACTGTTTAGATCATTATTGGGATGTACATTTAATTTAAATTCATAATAGAAAGACATTTGATGACAGTATGTTGGATTTCTGTATTCATTTTTCAGCTTGATAATATCTAAGCACTGACGGGTAGAAGCAGTATCACCAGGAAATTATTCACTTTGTCAGTATCATGATTTTAGTTGTTTTTAATCCATAACATTAGTGTGTTTCTTTACCAGAGACATTAGCAGTTCATATTATATTTAGATTTTAAATAGGATCTCAAGGATTTCATTTATAATAACACAGATGCTTGTCAGAAATTCAGAGCTATTGAGATATGTTATTTAGTTCACCTGAAGATGTTGGGGTTTGTTTTGTTGACACAGGCCAAGTATTATAATTCCAAGCAGCCTACCAGTGGTGGGTCAAACACCTGAGGGCCCAGAAGCCCTGAGCGTAGACTTGAGGGGTGGGAATCAGATTTCTCCACACAGGTTGCTGACGCCAAAAGGGGGACCCGAGGAGCAGGAGGCCGACACAGCGGAGTTCGTCTGGCTGAAGGTGGCTCAACCCCAGGTTCTCCGGCCTCTACAGAGTGACCCAGAGGACATCTCATGCCGTCCGCCGAGGAGCAATAGTCCTTGCAATTAACAGGGGAAGTCCCGGATACATTTTCAGATAATGTAGTTAAAGTCTTGTAGAATTAATGTTTGTCTCCTACACATCCTGCAGGCCTTGAGACTTGGGTCACCCAGCAGTAAATGAGATAAAGGTCCTTTTGAGCTTATCAATAAAATGTATTCATTCCTAGTAAGCTGACNGGGACATTAACGTCTGATAACTAATTAATAATGTCTCTCTTGTGTCAATAACTATCGAAGTATTTCCTGCAAATAAACCAATGACTCGACCCGGCTGGGTTCAGAGTTCCGGACGTCTTTAGTCCTTCTAATTTTATTCTAATTAAACAATCATACTTAAAAAACAAACAAACACGAGACACGAGTCCTACACCAATACACTCTCAAATTCTTCGCTAAAGCCATTAAGCGATAAGAACAATTAACTTCTGTTAAAGATACATGATACGATGTTTGTGTGTTGAGGATGTTTAGGGGGAATGAGTATGTGTCCTGTCAGGGAGTCCTCTGTCATGACTCCGAATCATTGATTGGGGGATCTTACTGAGGGCAGAGGGACAGAAACACACACACACACACACACACACACACATACACTGTGAAGCAAACGATGGAATCAACAAACTGACTTACTACCTGGGATCCCGCCCAGAAGGGAAACCGACCAATGGAACACTGCCAACTCACTGTCTAGCTCGCTCAGAAGTGAACTCTGTGTATAAATGTTGTGATCATTTTGAAGATCGGGGCTCTTGTTTTTGACTTGCCGTTCCTGAGACGTGTCTCACACGGGGTTAGAACCTGAGCCCGGAGTACTCTGCAGAGTGCTTCGTGATTAGGAGATTGGGTGATGTATTTGTATGTTTTACCATTAAAGCAGATTATTGTTTAACTTGTATTCTGGTGCTTCTTAATCCCTTCCTTTTTACGAATTTACCCAGCTTATCAAACGACACGCGGAGACAAGGTTGGTTTTAAACATCCTCCAAATCTCCAACAGTTCCGATTAATTAGAATACGATTTTAGTAGGAATAGCAACCGTGCTGGGGAGTGTCAGCCTCTCAGCTCAGGGCCATAACCGGAAGCCAGATGTTTATTTTTAATAAAGTTTGTCTATTTGCGTCTGTAGAATTCTCCTAAATTCACCAAAAGTTAGCATTCTAACGTAACATAAAGTACCGCGACAGCTGTTTGCACCATGTAATCAGAGGTATCGTTGGAAAGCTCCGTCTACTGCACAATCTCATCTGATCCAAATGTGGTCATTTCGTTTGTATCAGCAACCAATCGTGGAAGTACAAAGGGGTCTTAAACCAGAAAACGAAATCTCATTGGCTGGTGTAAATCTCTGACAACGTGATTCGTTCAGATGCGTCACGTGGTGTGCTAAAACACTTCCTGCCTTAGCTTTCCACTGGAAAGTTTAAATCTCAAAATGGCAAAAGAACAGCGAAAAAAAAACGTTCACAGAGAAGACGACAACAATTGTCACTTGCACGAAGCAAGGTTATACAAAAAACAAATGACCCTGACCATGAAATACCTTCACGGAGTGCGTCGAGGCGCAAGCTGTCATCCAAACAACAGGAGGGTTTAGTTAGCGCCACACTGTAATCTTTAAAGGCCGTTTTCAAATGAATTTTTTCTCCTATTCTGAGTGAGAAATGTCTACTTCAGTAGCACGTACATACACCAAACCTTCCAGTTATATTCCTATCAATATTCTGAAGGCTTTTACAGAAGGGTTTGTTCATATATCATTCATAGCCTGAATGATATAACATGTTATACCTAAAAACATGGCAACAATGGATATTTTAGGGCTGTACAAAGAGATATCCAAAATCCCTTCTGTAAAAACTTTAGAATCTAATGTGACTACAAAATGAAGAAAGAATTTTGAACCTGGCTTAATCCAATGTTCAGATTTGTGTTCCTGAAATGTATTAAAATAAGCGCATATTTAATGATATTATGGCTCATTTGCATATTTTAAAATGCTATTTCAGAAAACTTGTAATACAAAAAACAATTGTCTTAATGTAAGTAATTAACTGGAGACATTTCTAGCTGATATCTTTAAGTTAAAATTTTTTTACCCTATTCACCTGTAGTGTCTCGCCTTAAAGGGAAATACTCAAGTAAAGTAAAACTATTTCAAAAAAGTACTTAAGTACAATACTAGAGTAAATATACTTAATTACTTTCCACCACTGAAAAACTGAAAAGTTGACTTTAATTAAATGTATTATGTCAACAAATTGCACATTACAGTTTTAGGTTTGTTGAAAGAAATAATATTACGTTGAACCTAATGTAAAGTCAACGTTTCAGTTTTTTCAGTGTGTGTATGTAATGAGCACACAAAGAAGACACATTTATTGAAAAGTCAATGTCTCTACTTTAAAGTTGCAGCTGGTTTCCAAAACACAAAGAAAGCTAGTGTGAAGGTACAGGAGTTTTGTTTTGGCAAACCCTTTTTCAATAAGTTGGAAAAGGATTGCCATGGTTGCCAAAGTATATGATTTAAGCTTATAGTGCATGTTAACATCCAGCCCAGAGCAACTTTAAAGATAAAAACCACAATGCAGACGGGTAACAGCAGGCACCAACAACAAACACGAAAAGGGGATCATAACGACACCTACCTTTCTTAAATCATTGCTGGAGCGTAAAGCAACAGAACAGGATGACAGCTGTTACAGTGAGACCCTTAGAACCAACAGTCCTCCAGTGTAGCATCATTTCAGAAGGTATGAAGTATAAAAGTCTAGTCGCCAGCAGTGTGAACCTGTGATGTTGAGTACTCCAAAGTTTCATGATAGAAATGTATAGTATGGGTCCCCATTTGGGCAATTTGCACAATTAGCATAAATTGCATTCATTAGCCTATGCAGACAATAGCTAAAAAACGGGTCCCCTAAAACTTTACAATCAACCAAAAATTCATAAAAATCAGCCCGCAAGTAAAATAGCAATGGAGTAAAAATATTGCACGTTTCTGGTAAAAACTGCCATTTTTTATCCTGAAAAATTCAGAAATGGATTCAACATTCAAATTGTCCAAATTGGCCAAGCCAGTTTTTAACTATAGCCACAATATGCTAATTATTGCAACTGATGCTAATTGTGCAAATTGCCCAACATGCAAGTTAGCATCCGGCAGCACTATGTGGTGGGGACCTGTTTTAAACATTTATTTCATAAAACGTTGGGTCAATCAATCATTCCGGTTTCACTATAGGACTATGGCAGATAGGCAATAAATGTGATGTTAAAGATACTTATGCCATATTGTCTGTACCTGTTGGTGCTGTTGATTTTCATCAAGTCGGCATACATATGTTGAGCCATCTCAATGCATTCTGGGAGTTCGTTGGAACATGCCACATCTATGGCCTTTATCTGGATTTGCCTTGGAATAAAGCACAATGTCTATGTTAGAAGTGTAGATGTAATACATGATGATAAATGTAATGTAATAAGTGTTTAGAAGAAGATAGAGATGCGATTTTTAAAATAAAATATTTATTAATAGAGCTTTGATGAAAAATGCATTTGAATTCATTCAGCTTGATATGTCATTTATTAAGGAACATTATTACGTTTAATTACAAGCACATTTCGGAGATTTGCTGAATATTTATAAATTATCAGTAGGTGTTAAATGATGATGATCTTTTAATATCTTCACGGCGTTACACTTTTCATACCAGTACTGCATATATTTTATTTTTTTACGAGTATTTTGTCATATTATACTGTACATAGTTGTTAGGTATATATATTATATATACATTATTTGTTGGTTGTTTTTCTGACAATGTATTTTCTTTGACTGTGTTTATGCACGCACCATACCTACTTAAGGCAATAATGCTGTTTCTGATACTGATTTCTGATTCTGATGAATAAGTCCTAATAAAAAAATACAATATATATATAAAACACTGTATCTTGGTAGGTTGGTCTTTGCTAATGTGCTGAAGTTTCACACATACAAAGATATTTAAAATGACGATAACAAAGAACCATCCAATCAAGTAATTTGAGTTTTTATCCGAGACATGTGATAGTGTTATATGACGCCATAACAACTCATCTTTCCTTACTGTGAGGAGTGATCAGTTGGGACTGTGGAATTGTCTGTGTAGTTGCCGAAAGAATTGTAAAGGCCTTCAACCTGATTACGGAGGTACATCTACAGGAAGAGACACATTTACAGCAGAGTTACAGGAACACACACAACACTTTTATGACTCATCTCTTTATATCCTGATGAGGGAAGGACATTGACACCAATCACATCTAGTCTGTTAAATCCAGCTTCTTCATGTAATACTAGTCAATTCATTTAGTGATGTTAGAAATAATTGTTCATTTGGATTATTACAAGTTAAAATAATGTTTTAATAGTACATGCCTGCATTGGTCCATACACCTCAGATCGATCGAACATGCGGACAAAGTACCCGAGGTTGCTGATGGTTGCTGCCCAGGGTATTAGCTCCGTCTCATTCCGAATGAAGCGCGTTAAATTTAGCGCCAGAGTCACGTCGACAAGTTTGGCCCTGAGGAAAACAGAGATAACATTTGTAGGAAGAGGCAGACATTAGCTTGCCCTTATTTAAAAAAACAAAACAGGTTTGATCAGAACACACTAGGATTTGTAGCAGTGTGGTTTATCTGAATCCAGGTTATTACCTTGCCAAGTTAAATGCATCGTCAACAAGCTGCCCTCTGTTCATCAGTGGGATCCGCTGGAAGAAGAGCAGGGGCAGTTACATTTTTAGTTTATAAAGACCCCAAGTATAGACATCTGAAATCAATGATATTACTATAAATGTGAAAATTCTGCATTAGATCAGGAAACAATAACTTTTTACTATTTTAAAAGTTCGATATAAAGCCTTAATTTCTTTAAATGTAAGCTATTCTCCTGTATTAGGAGTTCTGTCTAAAGATGCTCACCAATAGAGTGGTACAGTGATGGTGCATCTCTTTACAAAAAGCAATGATTTTCCCAGTGGCACACAAGTTTTGGAAACGTACACGTTTTGTTTTGCAGGTTAATGTCCAACTATTTACACCAGTTTGTGACATTTGAAGCTTAAATGCAATCGCCAGAAGCAAAAAGCAAATGTGGGGCTCCAAATGACCTACGTCACATCCCATGACTTCACGTCACCACCGCTAAGCTAAAGTCAGTCAGTTCATCCAGACTGTTTGATAAACTGCCATGACATTTTGTAGACATTCATGTTCCCGAGAGGATGATTCATATTGATTCCTTAACGTTTGGGTACAGATATTCATGTTCCAAACAGGATGTAATAACTTTAGCTATGATATAAAAATGCACAAACCCTAACCTGATGACATTGAACTCACTGGTATTGCTAGATAGAGAGTCTGGGGATCTACAAAATCATTTTAATGTATCCTCTGGGAACCATGAATGTCCCAGAGTGCTGGACCTCATGGTTTGGCTCAGTACTCACACGTGGGTCTTTCTGCAACTGAGTGATGAGGCGATCCCAGTTCTCTGGGTTGTAATTGACTCTGTAGTATCCAGTACAGTTGACGTTTGCCAGAATCCACTCTCCTTTAGTTGCAACAAATTCGTCTTTCATTGCTGTTCAAAAAGCAATAACATAAAAGATCAATGGAACAGTATGAATACACATTAAAAACGATATGAAAAGTTATCTTGTGTATAAGGTCATCTTTCTCGGTCTCATCAAACTTTTACTGGATTTTACCCAATCAAGGACCATCACATAGATGCCTTAAGATGTCTAAAAGTCCAAATAATTATTTATATTTAAACGTTATTTTATATTTTCTGGGCCTGATGAAATACAAAATATCTAATGTAATGGTTTGTTTGTCCAAAATGCAAAAAAAGCTGTTAAAAATTGGGTTTCAGGAAAAAGGCTCTGTGTTTTACATCCTGTTACCTGACTCGCCAGGTTTCAACCAGATTAGACGAAACAGAGTTGTATATTTCATGGCTCTGATCGGGACGTGCCACGAAAGACTAAATGGACAGAAAACAAAAGACAAAAACAATTAGGATGCTCATAGTCAAGGAAAGGGTTCTTCAGTGTCTAGCAGTGAAGAATTGAAAGGCAACTTAGAAAGAAGCTTTTTAAGATGACCTGTAAAAGGGTGCATGAAATCAAATCTCCTGTACAATAACCAGTTCTCTGCACTTCCAACATGCAAGAGTCCAGAGCTGTTCTGAGTTTGGCCAATGCAATTTAAGAATGTGTCAGCAGGCAGTGTTATTGAACACATTGTTAGAACGCTCTACATGGCCAAATATATGATACAGTCTGTTGCAGTGATTTCATGCAGGCATAGCAGACAAAAGTGATTGCTAAATAAATAACTGTATTTTGCCAACCAAAACAGCCACACACCTGAGTTTGAATATTTGGTGACAATTCTTCTGAGAGGGAGTAAGACATCTTTGAGTGAAGTCACTTGAAGACAAATTCATGAACTTTGGCATTTGAAAGATAGTAAATGTGAAATATTTTTCTCAATTTTTGTCCAAATGGGCACTGACCACATTACTACATTTATTCACATTTTCCACCAAGAGTTTGCAAGATTCAAGTAAACAAGCAAACTAATGATAACACCATCTTAACTAGCGGCATTCCTTTGCACTGGTGTTGGATGTTGACAGAAATCCAATATATCTAATCCATATTAGGAATATGTTATATGACATTATTTTGACCTAAAAATAGTTATTTATTTCATTGATTTAAAAAAAAGGTTTGTGTATGTTAATGGTCTGCAAAGGTTAAAATCCCTATGTTCCCTACAGAGGGAGTTTCTTTCCCACACACTCTAAAGAATTAATGCTTAAGATGTTAATTTACTTGATTGAAAATATTAACTGATTCTTACTCAATATTCATTTATTTTGATAAGAATTCTGAAATGAACTGTAATGTTATGAGTATTATAAGAGCTTTGACCTAAACGGGTAAACATTTGGCGCATACCTAGATACTGCTGAGTCATTGAACAGGAAGTGCTTCTGGAAGGCTTCTCCACTGGTAGTGTTGATGGTGATAACAGGGTAGCCGATTTGTTTAGTCCAGCTGTTCATCACCTCGGCAATATTCCTTTCGCCTGTACTCTCGTCATCTGCCTGCAACATTTATTATGAATAAAATAGACTCATCAATGATTACTTACCAAACATTTGCATGTGGAAATACCTGATTTAATCCAACACTTTACCTTTTGTATGTATTCCCAGAGGATGTTCTGGTCTGTGTTTTTATACTTCCAGTCTGAGAGGTACCTCTAAAACAGAAACACAGAGAGATCCAGATAGAAGTTACAGTTACGTTTAAAAAGTATTATTTTAATTTGCCAAATCGCAGAAAAGACATTGCAACAGCAAAGATGTTGAAGATGATGTATGTCTACAATGTTGTAAAGTTTGTCTAACATTGTGGATTTTAAACTTGTTTATTTGCCTTTTCACATTGCAATAAAAACCCAACAACCAAAACCAGATGTTGGAATGTTAGACTTTAGAGCAACATAACAGTTTGTCCAAATAACCTAAGCTAACTGACTTGATGACTCCAAACTCAAATAAACAGTGTCAGTTAAAAAGCCTGGAACATGCTAGTGCTAGTTAGCCACCATTGCTCTTACAGCTGCTTTACAGCTGCTTTGGGTCTTCTCTGTACTGTGCTAATTGTACCTTATCCCTTTTCCATAATAAGACAAACCAAAGTATTGAACAAAACCTAGAAATTGAAATTGAAAATCAAGCATGTTCTTTTGCTCATTAACGAGTACTAAGAGACAGTTTGACCCAATATCAACACCACAAGGGGTCTATGTGATTTTGAAGTTTTTATCCTTTCAGTCCCCCATTTAAGGCATCACATTTGATATTAGCTATCCCACCCATGCTGTAAGCCATGTAATTGGACAAACTTTGGTATTACCAAAAGGATGCATCTTCTCAATAAAAACAACATTATAGGACACTGATGGTTTGATGTTAAACAGGGTGTCAAAAACTATTTTTTATCGCACAGTCAGAGGCAATTATATACAGCTGTATTTCAGCCCAACTGAATGAGATTAAATGTAATTGCTTACTCCGATTGCTTTGTCGAAAACGGGCTGATCCACAAGGTCTGCCAGCATTACCAGCACAGCTGCCCCCTACAGAGTGAACACCAAATACATGTTACATGAACATACTGAGGACACTGCTCACTTGAGAAAAACAAATATATATCTTCCCTGTTTTTTCCCTGGGGATTCTGTATTTTTAGCAGTTGCCTGATTGGCTCTTGGATCACTGTAGCCAGCCTGAATGCATTTAAAATGCCTCATGCCCACAAAGCATTTTATATAATTTCCTATGATTCTGGTGAAACACTGCACAGTATCAAAGCAGTGTAATGTACGTCTGAACAGATGCAAAGTCCTGGGGTTCAGCGCAAATTCAACAAACTCATGACAAAAGCATAGTAATGAATCATGATGAAATTTGATTCAACTAAACGGACATGTTTGATTTGATTAAATTATATGAAATCTTTGTTTGAGGTAACTCAGCAAAAAAACAGACAACTATTGTTTTCTCAAGTGAATGCATTACACTTCCTAATAGGACGTACCCACATTGATGTCACAGAGGTTCGGTCCTCGGAATGTTTTCGGTGATGTATATAATACAAGTTGTGAGATAATTGCCTAAAAAGTGTATTCATACATTTTCTTTACTTTTATTTTATTTTAAAATTTCCAACATTCATTTTCAGAAATGCTGTGATCATGTCAGCCTCTTCTGAATGTCCACATTATTCAGCCTGAACCTCATGCATTGCTCATTGAAAGATCATTTAAGCTCCTGCCCACTGATTTGATATAAAATTGTAATTTAATGTTTACCACTCCAAATACAGTATCTTAAAAAGCACTTATCTACATCTGATAAATCTAAAGTATTATGCCCCCCCATGAGCTTGATTTTGGTCCGTGGTATTAATAAAATCCTTTGCCCTGCTTCCTCATGCAGGGTGTATTCATTGAAATATACTGTCTCTACCTTACAGTAGGTTATAGTATCAAACATCTCCATGATCTGAGAAGTGGTCTGCACGTCTCCCTGAGAAGTGCTGAGGGGACGAGAGGAGGCCAGAGCGTCCGCCTCAAACGCAGAGTGGAGGTTGTTCAGGATATTTACATCTTTCTGGGGAAACAAGAAGAGACATGCTGCATAACAACATGAAGAGATGTGTTTGGCTTGCCTTATTGCATCAAGCTTTCGTTTTCAATTACCATGATCCTCATAATAAAGAGGTGAAGGTTTGGTCTGAACTTACTAATTTAAAGTCAGGCTCAACAGCGTCCACTGCATAGAATGTCATGTAGCTGGCAAAGCCCTCGTTCAGCCAAATATCATTCCACCATTTCATCGTCACCAGATTCCCAAACCACTGTCGACAAAAAAAAGCAATGTTAATGTCATTTTGGCATTTCTCCTTTTGGCTTTTAATTATTGTCAAAAGTGGGTGAAGAGTAGTTTCCTCTAACCTGGTGTGCCAGTTCATGTGCAATGAGTTCAGCGATGTTTTCCTTGTCAAGCAGAGAGGACACCCCCTCCTCATAGAGCAGCTCCCCCTCCTGGTACGTGATCAGCCCCAAGTTTTCCATTCCGTCCGAAATTAAGTCTGGCAGTGCAATCTGATCTGTAGGAGTCACAGAAATATAGACAAGTAATGAGATGATACCTACATTTGCCAGTAGTGTGTTACACTATCTGAAAGTATCCAGTGAGTTTTCCTCAGAAAAAGAGAGCCTCTCTGGAGGTGATAAAAACATTGAGGAAGTTTGAAAGGTGCAAACAGTGTTGGTGGTAAATGTAGTGGTTTGAAGCAATACATTCCTCATTGTGTGCTATAACGATTATATTGACTTGTTCTGCTTGTGGTTCCTTACTGGCTGTGCCCACCTGAACCAGAATATATTGCGTAAGATTTTTTTTTTTATCAGAATGGTTTAGATACCAACATTCTTTCCAAAACAATAAAGTATCTACAACAAACATAATTCATTTACAAAAAATTAAGAAATAAATCAGCATGATCTGTTAAAAGACTGAGCCCCTCTATAAAGGCCCTCTCTGCCCCCTGAAATACATTGAGCCAGTAGTTACTTGATCCTTTTCTTCCGTCTTTCTGGTTGGGTCTAATGCTTTTCTTTGAATTGTTTTCTTGAGAATAAAAGTTTGGATGTTGTTGGATGATGATGATGATCGCCTAACGAGTGACGGAGGGTGGAACTGAGGCTGAGGAACTTTGACAGCTTTCCCATGATCTTCCAACCGATTTTTAGCCCTATTCCTTCCTCCCTATACCTGTTGACCTCTTCCTCCTCTCATCCCTTACTCCTCTCATCCCTTCATCCTATACCACATTTCTTCCCCCTTTCACACATTGACCCCTTCATCCCCCACACCCTTATCCTAACCCACATCCCTTCACACATTGAACTATTACTTCCCCTCACACCAATCGACCCCTTCATCCCACCCTCCCCTCACCCCTTCCTATATCTATCCAATACTATATATGCACACTTTTCCAAATGTGTCATTCTAGGTACTGTCTTGGGGCCCATAATCGGCTCAAACTGAAATTCCCAGGGACAGAACCCCCACCAAGAGTCTCCCTCTGCCCTGACTTCAGTACGTCCCCCCAAACCAGCCTCACAAACAACATTTGTCTCCTTCAAGCCCCCTCCCCTCCCCTACATCCATCCATTCATTCTAACCCTCCTTCATTAAATCTTTAAATGACAAAATGTTGGGGTACGGTCCTTGCTAGTGAACCCTATAGCAAACAAGTCAAAATGAGTACCCTGTACTGTATACTAATATCAAATGATAAAGAAGTAGGATATAGTCAACATGTTCTTCCTGTGTAGACAAAGACTTACCTAGCTTTCTCTGTGGGTATATAATGTCAAAACGGCGCTCAAAGTAGTCGAGAATCCTTCCCGTGATATCCGCTGCATATTTAGCGTGTCCTGCTGCAGTGGCCTTAGGACGAGCGTACGTCTGTATGGGAAAACATAAAGCATGCAAGATACATATTTGGGTTTTGTACTTTTACATATTTATAATTTGAAATAATCCCAAAAGTGTGGGAGTGACTTGTAAAAAACTAAGTCATTAAACCTGAAAATTATTCAGTTATTGGACACGGTTTGGTTTCATGGTTCTGAATATTATTTTGATATGACCTTGAAAACATGCCATAACATTTTGACTCTATTCAGTACCTATGGTTAGACTGTAGTCAGTACCTATGGTTATTTGAATGAACATAATTCCCATCATATATCCAAAACCTGATCTGAAAGTGATAGAAGCAAACATCAACTCCATACCGAGAATAAAGACACATCATTTATCCTACGTCTACAGTACACATACATTGATTTCCACACGGTGATGTGAGGAGGGGGTTGGTGTAAACTCTGAAACCGTGAAGGCAAACAGGTACGTTGACATCAACGGTGTTGGCTGAAAAGCTGTGGCTTTCCAATCATCGTCTATAATATTGGCGCCGTCTGAGAGAGTAGAAACAAAGAAGGCCCGTATTAGGACGATATATTGGATCATTTTGAAGAGAAATTAGGTACTATATTATGTTTTTGCATTGTGACTGCTTGTTTTTTTTACCTGTATTTATGCCATTCGCTAGAGCCGTCGTGATTCTCCTGTGGATTATTGTCACCTCGAACTCTGCCTTAAAATCTGGCTCATCGAAACAAGGGAACACCCTCCTGGCAAATGTTGGTTCCATATTGGTGGCAATAAGGAATCTATAATTACAGAGAAAGACAGTGTATTGTCAGGTAAACACTGCGGGAACACTGGATACAGATAATGAGGATACAATTTGAAAATCCCATAATACAGTAGATTCCGTTGAATTAGTACGTTTAAAAGCATTAACTCCATCAGATTTGCGTATTTTAAATACTGGTGGATACAGCGTCATTGTGTGTCCTCTACGTTTGTAACAGGTAGATTGTAAGTTTGGGACAAACCATGGCAAAAGTTGATTTATTGAGAATAACTAACACATACTGTATCTGCCAATGCCAAATGCAATATCTCTAGTGGTGAGTGGAGATTGTCAAGTGATAGTGCATTGTAGCAGCACATTGAGGTGGTCTTAAAACTTTGAAGGGTGAAATATGACTCTGGCAACTGAGCAACATCCGAGTGCCCAGTACCTATTATTTGGTTTCTAATTTTAAGTATAATAGCAAGATGAAGACAAAAGTGAGTTGGGGTATCCTATTTCCTTAGAGAGAACAATATAAATAAAGGGTCACCATACACTACTAGCACATTATTCATGATAAATGAATCACTTACAGAAAGTAGACAGAAAACAGCTTTATCAAAAATACATCAGTTCATTCCGTCTGTTTGAAACCACATACTGTATATCTGGAATGTACATAAGAACACATACTCAAGTATTGTACTTAAGTACAAGTTTGGGGTACTTTTACTTCACCTGAGTATTTTTATTTTATTCTACTTGTTACTTCTACTCCTCTACATTTTAGAAGCCATAATGAACTTCTCACTCCATTACATTTATTTGACAGCCTTAGTTATTTTTTATTTTATAGATTCAGATTAATAGCTGACACAAAATATTGTTATTCTCCATTTATCAAAAGACCTCAGTACATCCTCAACATCTAGATGTACTCAGATTTACTGACTCCAATCTGAAAAATCGAACTTTGAATTGCTCACAAAAAGATAGGAACATTAATTAGGAGCGTCACTTTGATTTAAATGATTAGATAGATTGTGATCACCGTGCTTCATTCTCTATGTTTTTTTTATTGTATTATAAATATTATCATGAAAGTCAAGGTCTTACTATACTGTGAAAGACGATTAGAGTCTCATGTGAAACATTTTTGACGATCTGACCAAAAGTTTTTTTTTTTTTAAAGTTCTGAGAATTCAGACTTTTTTTCTCAGAACTTTTGGTCAGATCTCAATAACGTTCCACATGCGGCCCTAATCCTCTTCTGTGCTATACTTTCCGTATTGCTTTACATAATATATTGCATATATATTTAACATATTGCAGCCGACAACTATATACATTTGTTCTGACTTTGGATTTACTTTCTTATTTTATCTTTTTATAAGATTAGAGTATATTATTTTATCTTTCCGACAGAACAGTAAACAATGGAGTGATGATATTAGTATGGTCTCACTACATTCAGTTGAGAATGTTTTAACCTGCCAACGTTAAAGAAAACCTCCAAAATAAAAGCAAAATGATTCTTTTACTTCTTTAATGTCTCAATGTTTCTACATGTGTTGAATATAGGAGATGGCTCGAGGAGCTACAGTAAGTAATGCCAGAACAAATTATGTTTCAGTGTTGAGTAATTAGAAAATAAAAATGGATTCATTCATCAATAAGCAATGAGTTCATGATTACATTTTAGGGAAACTAAGTAAAAGAAAATGACAGACAGAAGGTCATAGACTAACACATTCGGTCTAATAACTAAATCGGAATGAAGGGGAATTTACAACACAGAACTTTAGTGGGTGTCAGATAAAAAAGGCTTAATGCTGAACATACGTTCTTTCAGTTTCTGTGAAACCGTAGCAATATAACTGAGGATTAGGGCTCTATTTAGTTCAAATCGGAATTTCTCAAAATTCAAAGAAAAAAAAGTTTTCTCTCAGAATTCAGATTTTCCTTCTCGGAATTTTGACATCTCAGAACAAAAAATAAATAACTCTTGGTAAGATCTCCATTTTTTTTTAATTTACATGTGGCCCTAATCCATTTCCATATATGTGTGAATCTTGAAGACACAAAGTAAAACATAAGGGAATTTTAACATTTGGTGAATAACGGTGTCCTTGCTAAAACTTGGCAGGATGTTTTCTTAAGCAAAAGGTATATCGTCAGAATAGTTTGACGTCATTATCACTAATTCTTCACACATACAATCAAAAGCTTTAAACTCTTTGTACCCACCTGTCTGTATCTGTATCGTCTTCATGAGCTGGGATACCTTCTTCATATGTGCTACCATACATCCCCTCGAGACCACCTGATACTTCTCCGCTGAAAGACAGAAACAAACTGTAGTTCCCCCCCGTCTTCAAAGCATAATCCAACTCGATCTCCAGGAAGTTAGTTTGGTCTTGGTGGTTTTCCATTCTGGTAACACGGATCCTTTCCTCTCTGTCTGTGCTCGCCACCACTGGACCATAAACATCCAGGTTCTGGCTGTGGAGGTAGATGGAGCTTGTACCCTGGACACAATGAAAGTAAACGGTGGTGTTTCCAGTGAAGAGCGCCGTCTGGTTGGGGCTGGTGACGTTGACCTCCTCAAGGATCTGGCTGTAGAAGAGAGGCCAGAGCAAGACCTTGTATCTCTCCGGGACGAGGTTCTTCGGAAGCCGCGTGACGGGCGGTAGGCCCGTGGTGGTGGAAGGGAAAGTCGGCCGGGGCGTGGGATTCATTGTCGCGATCTGGGTTTTGTATAAAATGACCATGGTGACAATGCCTGCTATGGCGGAGGCCGTCAGGACGACGAAGGCGGCGGCGAAAGCCTTGGTGACCGAGGAGTTCTTAGACATGGTGGTCTGTCCTGAAGGTGCTTGTCAGGAAGAGATGAGTCCGATGAGTCCCTCAGCTTGAGTGCCTCTGCAGTGATCTGTTCACAACCAAGTAACCTCCTTCCCGTGAACTGGGCTTGGCCTTAGCAATTACGACTCTGTACTTAGATTAAGCATTAACTCGGCCCTTGCCAAAGGAGCAAAGAGTAAGCGTCCGTGTGAAAAGGGCGATGTTCACTGGTCGTGTTGTAAATAATGGGTCAGATTGTGCTCTCAAACATCTGGAGGTGGTTTCTGAGGTCTTGCCACTAATAAAGGGGTTAGGTAAACTTCAGGAAACACTTTCCCTAAACTGCACTCATCACACATTCCCTCACTACGATCACAATAATCACACGCCTGAATGGAACAAATGAGCTGCTGGTGAGTAATAGTCCTTCAGAAGAAGCTTGGAATGGAAGGTGTCCAGAGGTTCAGGTTGCACTGATGGCTCTTGGTAAAAACCGCAATGCACGGGGGTCAGATGATGGCTTCAATAAAGACACATGTCAACAGAGATCCTGACCTACAAACGAGAAGTATGTGAAGGGAGGATAGGAGGAGGGGTTGGATAAGAGAGGAGAGAAAAGAGGAGGAGGATCTAAACTGTTTTAGGAAATTAGCTAGAAATGCCCAACCGCAGGAGATCACGACCACCGCCTCCACAACACCCACATAATTACTCACCTCAGGAGAGGAACCATAAGAGGCAAAATGGCAACAGTGCAGGAGAAAATGGGCCCTGAGCAGGGTGCGCCGAAGGATGTTTGTACTGAGAACAGATGTTGCTGTTGCAGGATCTAGGAAATCAAACCAACCTGACCATATTGAAACAGTAAGATGTCTCAAACAATGAGAGACCATGGCAGAGACTGGAGCCAGGTGGAGGGGCATTACCTTTGTTTAGCGGCCGTAATGATGTGCATTAAATGTGACCCAAGAAAAAATTCCCCAGAACAAGGAAATGTTCTCTTCCAGGAAATTCAATGTATCACTTCTTATTCTGCGAAATGTCCCCAGATAATGCATGTGTCAGAATGTCAGATTCTTCTACTCCCACATCATGCATTTGCTTGGCTCAGGAGGGATTATTTTCTCAAAAACCAGGGGGTCATCTCTGGGATCAGAGCCATCATCTGTCAAGCGGTTAATGTTGCTTGTGAAATAAAAAATTGCGTGTGAATGAAGAGATTGAATCCAGTTCTTTATGAGGAATCTTGTGAAATGTTCTACATTCAAAACGTTCATCATCTCAACCAAATCTCACATGGATGTACATTGAAATATTGTGACGAGCCTCAAGCACACACCTGCCACACGTACAACACATGAGCACAAGAACTGCAGTGAAAGGATTACAACTGTTACACAAGCGCATGTGTACACACACACTGCTGTAACAAATCACCATCTTTGACAATAAGGACCTCTACTGTTTAGAATGCAAACTGCAAAAGCACAGAGTTCAGCTGGGGTTCAGGTTAAAAAAGGAATGGAATTTAAAACAGCACATACATTATTCCCTAGTTCTCTCTCACAATTTTGTCTTTTAGTTCATTTAAAAAAAAGCAATTTTCACAACTCTAAGCAGCCATTACACATCATCTAGTCTCATGTATGGTACATGGACCATGTACACTTCAGGTAGAGCTGTAGTTCATATTGAAAAAGTAATCCAGGCAAGTACAACACAGTGCATAGGGAGCAGAATCCAAATCCAAAATCGTCCAATCCATCGGAATTATTATTCAGCTCCGATTTTTCAAGTGATTTTATCATTTTTCGGCATGCGTCTAGACTTCTAGAAATGTCAGCAAGAAGAAGTCCTGGCTGAGAGGAAGAAAGGGTCCAAAGTGTGGCCTCAATTCACGAAGAAAGATGACAACACTTCCACTTGTAATATCTGTACAAAGCTCATTTTCAAGTAATAGTAGTAGTTCAAACACCAGAAACATCTGTCCATACAGCATGGGCTACAATCCCAGGAAGGTATTGATTTAACATAGGTAAATTGCTTTGTTAAAACAGTGTAAAAGTTCAATTCATTAAGGAATTATGAAGAACCGGAATTAATTATGTCATTTGTACCAATACAATTATATTAATTCTTGCCCGAGTGCAATTAGCATGAAGCACTTTTGGAGATAATGGGCAATCTCAAAAAAAGTTTTAGACTTGTTTTCGATTGTAACTTCCTGTTAAAGAATTTTAAAAAGAAAAACTGCTGAATTATTTCGACGATCATTTTGTGTACTATGTGCAACCATGTACAGTGGCCAACAGGTGCTAACGCGCTACAACAACCCACAACACTTCCATCAGGAGGAACTCCATGCAGCTTCAGAACCGATGCAGATAAAAAAACACAAATGTGCCAAAACACATGAAGAGACATATTCTCCAACCTGACAACACATGTCACTTTTTGGTGTCCCCTGGTTTCCGTTGGGTTTTTGAGCTTCTTGCAGAGTTTCGTGTTTCAAGCTATTTTAGTAAACGCTGCGCATGTTTCCTCACATTGGGGAATGTTTTCTAAATGCTGCATGTGTTGTCAAGTTAGTGAAAATGTTTCTTCATTGCATTTGTTTTAGCACATTTGTCTTTTTATATTAGCATGGTTTCTCCTAATGGAAATGTTTTGTGTCATGTAGAGCGTTTGCGCCTTTCGGCCACCATAACCATGTCACACCATGGGTGTTTCTCAATGTCGAGGAAAGCTGCTCCAGAGCCATTCTTGCCTCGCTTCTGAAGGAATTCACTCGGAGGTACATGTGCTACCAAGCAAGCCTCCTCGACATTGAGAAACACTCCATGTTATTTCAAAAGGGGACGCACATGTTAAACGGTTTATTGCTAATGGTCACTGCTGCAATGCGCTACCAGAGCCAGCTGTCTAGATGCTGCACACAGTAACAGGACTGTTCCAGGATGACCGACATCTCCCCGTATCTCTCCTCTCTCCATGTGGGGAGGAGCCTCTCATTGTTGAGGGCCTGGAGCCGGGGCGTGCCCTCCCGCAGGACGTGGTACAGACAGGGCCAGCGGCTCTGGATCCTCAGCCGGGTCCTCCGGTCCAGGGTGATTCCTCGCACAATCTTCTTGGCTCGAAGCTCGCGCAGGGCGGGAAGCTTCAGGCAGGAGAACACCAAGCCTCGACTGGGGGACACGTCCAGGAACTCTAGAGACTGAGACTCCAGAGTGTACGAGATGCCCAGGTTCCTCAGCGGCACCAGGATCTGTAGAGTCAGGGACTTCAGGTTAGGCAGGGACTTGGTAAGGTGCTGCAGCGTCGACGGGGTCACTCCTTTGAAGACCCAGAAGTACTTGAGCTCGAGGACTCGAAGCTGCTGGAAGTTGGTGAGCAGCGACATGGACACGTCCGACCAGTCGAAGTGTAAACGCATCTTTGAGATGCGGGGGCAGCTGTGGGTGAGTTTGGTCAGCAGCTCCTGGAAACTGGTCACCTGCCAAGTCAGACAAACAGGTCAACCATGGGTTAGTTTCCTGGAGAATTGTCTGTATATTGGTATGACCAAGAACACATAACTAGCAGTTCCAACATTTCTGACAAGCTGCCTTCTTGAAGACAAAAAAACATCCACATTATCACTCCCAAAAATGATATTTATAGAATTTATAAAATCATCTGGTGGAAAGGGTAAGTCAAAAAATGAGCAAAGTTGCCAGATTTCTTTAGTGGTTTTGTAATATGATGGAGTCTAGGATACTTTTTAACGATTGGCCTGTTGACCGTGTTGTTTGAAACGCAAAATGGATACCGTGTATTTTTACTGCAAACAAAATCTACCTACAGGCACAACTAAATAAGCTAAACCTGAATCAAACCAAGCCCATCTTGGCAGCAGACATTTGAACTCCTAGCAGTCGCAGCAGAAAAGTGGAACCTATATCATTAACAATGGCCGCAGCAGGTAATTACACCATTAGTTACAGAGTGTTTGACAAGTCAAACGTCTGCAGTGAAAAACCTCCGTCCACATTTAGTTTCATGCCATATTTGTGCCATGGTTACGCACACCTCCTCTGCAGAGCTTTGCATATTCTCCATAGTTACTTTTTTTCTTTCAAGGACCCTACAAAAATGTGCATATATTGCACTCACACTACCTCACTGCATCTAAATGTTATATTTAGAAAACTGTAATGCACACTTTTACATAGTATATATGTTTATATTTGTGTATTATGAGATTGGTCTAAAACTGAATTTCCCCCTAGGGGGATCAATGAAGTGTATCTTTCATTGTGCATTCTTTCTTAGATACACAGCTCTGGAAAAATAACAATGTACAGGTATGAGTTTTAGTAAAATGAACATAAAAGGAATTCAACAGACACTGGAATGGAATGGCTGCCATACATCTAGAGATTGAGATTTATATTTTTCTGATGTTGATGTGTATACATTTACTTATTTCTATTTTTGCCTTAATTGTAATCTGTTTCATTGTATTTAAAGCTCATGTGAAATACCTTGTTAATATGCTGCTTTCCAATTTGGGATCAATAAAGAATATCTGATCCTCTCTGGATCTTTGGGGTTCACTATTTTACAAAAGCCTTCAGCAGTTTGTATGGAAACATATAAACTACACATGAGACTTGTGCAACAGTGGAATGTGCATGGAGGAAATATCACATCATTATAGAATCATATTATTATATAATTAGAATAGTTTGACATTTGCTTGTTTTTTTCAACAACTTTCTTCATCTAACCCCGTTTATGTTATGCACCATTATGCACAAAAGCCAATTAAATGTATGTGTGAACCAGGCATTAAACCTGATTTGGATTAAGTAGAATTTGTAGTATTACTGTCAACCACAGTAGCTAAGCATTTTCAATTAATAGTGCAGCTCTACTAAGAAGCCTTTCCACTCATAATGGGATTCAAGCATATCAAAAACGTGTAAGATTACTTATTACTCATTATTGTTCAATTGTTAAATTTATAAATTGTGTGACACTAATCTGTTTATATATATAAAAATATTATTACCTCTTAAAGTGTGTATAAAGTATGTACAGTATATGTGTCTATATATATATATATATATATATTTAAGTGGGTGTTTGGGTGTGTATGTATGTAACTATACACATATATTTTTATATTTTCTAATTCTTGGGGACGGTGAAAAACGGCATTTCGATCT